ACTGAAATTTGTAAGGGAACATTAAAGTGATTCAAAGGGATGTATAAAAATCGACGAATAAAAAAGGGCAGAAAAAGAGAATCCCAAACTTAAATTTAAAATAAAAATTTAATAAATTTTTAAAAACCCACAAAAAAAAAAAAAAAAAATTTCAACAAGGGGAATTTATTGTAGCAATTTTCGCTCTCCAGGAGCTTTATCAAGTTTTACAAAATACTGGACACAGGGGTTTTAAAAGGGTCGGTGAGGTGAATATGGAGGTCCCATTTCGATGTTCATAGGGGTATAGTGTAGTGTAGTGGTAGTGACAAAAGCAATTATTGACATGAGTAAAAAGGTATAAAAGCTTTATTGGGTTAACATAAAATGGGTTTGGACAAATATAAACTGGAATGAGGCAGGTTGTTTCAGTTTATATTTGTCCAACCTATTTTTATGTTACCCAAGTAATAGCTTGTATATCCTTTTACTCATGTACGAATTAATTGCTTTTGTCACTACCACTACTACTACTACTACTACCACTAGTGAACATCGAAATGGTACCTCACTAGTATTCACCTCACTCTGATCCTTTATATACCCTCTGTGTCCATGTATTGTTTGTAATGGCTTGATAAAGCTCCTGGAGAGCGAAACGTTGCTACAATAAATGTCACATTAGTTGCACTTGTGTCCTTTTACTTTACAGGATAATAATTCAGGAGACGAGGAAGTCTGAGTTTATATGTTGTGGAGGATAAAGTGTTTTCCATGAAGGCTAAACAATATGGCTTTGTAATATATCAGAAACAGGTTCCTTTTGAGACTGACAGTGTTGCGTCCATCTGGACATTATCCAAAGATTTGGTCAAGGCATTGAAAGGGCACATTGAACCATGTTCAATGGTAATGGCTTGATAAAGCTCCTGGAGAGCGAAACGTTGCCACAATAAATGTCACATTAGTTGCACTTGTGTCCTTTTACTTTACAAGTGGAAGATAGGTATTAATAAGGGGGATATTAATAAGGTCTTGAGGATATCTCCCCAAGAGAGAACCCTTAGTAATGGATTTAAATTAGATAAGTTTAGATTTAGAAAGGACATAGGAAAGTATTGGTTTAGAAATAGGGTAGTTGATGAGTGGAACAGTCTACCTAGTTGGGTTATTGAGGCTAGGACTTTGGGTAGTTTCAAATTTAGGTTGGATGAGTACATGAGTGGGAGGGGTTGCATTTGAGTGGGAATTGCACATCAGAGCTTATTTCTTGGGTGGCATTGAAAATTGGGTTGGTCAAATGTTTGTTAGTGGGATGAATTGCAAAGGACCTGCCTAGTATGGGCCAGCAGGCCTGCTCCAGTGTTCCTCCTTTCTTATGTTCTTATGTTCTTATGTTCTAGGAAGATAACATGTGACAAGTGGAAAATAAACCTTTTGGGTAAGGTTGTTTTGCTGGTACGCTGTAATAACTTAGGTAGTTCAGTCAAATAATAGTAACTTATGTGAATAAGACCTCATGAAAAAGATAGGAATTTACCTTGCTGGATTAGATGAACCTACCAAAATTAATAAACTAGACAATCCTGAAGAAATGTTAGATAATTTTTAGGTAAATTCTAGTAAGCTTATCTCCAGTATGTTGGCCATAGTTCATGAGAAAAGTGATGCAGAATTAGAAAAAATTAGTACTGAAAGAGATTATTGAGCCTATTTCCCATAGAGAGCAGTCTGTAGCTATTGTATCTGTATTAAAGGCTGACTCTATGAAGATACGTGGAGACTCAAAAGATTCATTGTGAGAGATATCCTTTACTCAGGATTGAATAATTATTGTCTGTAGTGGGTAAAGACAAAATATTCATAAAATTAAATTTAAAAGATGTTTATTTACAGATACCTGTAGATGACAGGAGTCAACAGCTTTTAGTAATTAATACCTACAAAGAACTTTTTGAATATGAAAGACTACCTTTAGGAATTTCCTCATCTCCTGGTATCTTCCCAAAATTTATTTCTCAATTGTTTGTTAGATTGGAAGGAGTATATCCTATTTGGATGATATGTTGTGTGATGCCACAGAAGCTGAGCATGATGCTCGACTCAGCCAGGTATTGAAGATTTTACAAGAGCATAACGTAATACTGAATAATAATAAATCAGTGTTGAAAACCAGATCTACTGAATATCTGGGGTAATGAGATTTCAGAGGCAAGTATTTAACCTTCTCCTAAGTTAGTATTATCTAAGTCCATAAGAGATGTTCAGTCTTTTGTGGGGATGGTGGCATATTATTGTCCAGAAAGTAAATGGCCAGGAAAAACCTGTGTATTTTGCTTCTAAGAAACTTCCTCCAGCAGAACAGAATTAGTTACATCTTGACATAGAACGCTTAGCTTTAGTGTTTGTTGTTAAGTAATTCAGATATTTCTTGCTGGGAAGAAAGTTTGTTGCTCGAACAGATCATAAACCATTGTTGGGTTTATTTGGGTAAGAACATATTCCAGTAAATGCAAATGCCAGAATTCAGTGCTGGATTCTGTTATTAGCTCAGTATGATTATGAACTGTTATTCAAAGTTGGCAAGGAAAATGTTATTGCAAATACATTAATCAGATTACCTGTGGATGATCATGGTTTAGATCAGGTATACCTATGTAATATGTAAGATTAGTAGAATCTGCATTTTCAAAATATCTCACATGAGAAGATCAAAGAGCAAACAGGGAAAGATACTGTGTTATCTCAAGTCGTAAAATAGTTAGGAATGGATGGTGTAAGAACAGTGTACCTTTATCTGTCTATACTTCCGTCGAATAAGATCTGACTGTTCAGGATGTATTATTGTACAGTACTAGAGTGGTGGTGGTGGTGGTATAATTAAGATGTAAGATATTAGAACATTTACATGTTGGTCATAATAGTATGAATGAAAGCAGAAGCAAGAAGTGGGTCTGGTGGCCAGAGATTGACCTAAAATTACTGGGAAAGCGCCTAAATTACTGGGAACGCCTTCAAGTCTTGAACATGTACTCACTGGAGTGGAGGAGAGAGAGAGATACATAACTGCCATAACAACATACTGGAGTGAGAGATATGGGAAGAAGTGTAAAATAAACCCAGTGAGGAGCAGGGGTGCGGTGGGGACAATAAGGGAATATTTTATCAACATCTGGGGTCCCAGACTATTCATATCAGAAACACGGCTGGAACTAGTATAGAAGCCTTTAAGAGGAAACTAGACAAGTATCTTCACCAGGTGCCAGATCAACTAGGCTGTCATGGATATGTGGGGCAGCGGGCCTCCAGCAGCAACAGCCTGGTTGACCTGGCAAGCACCAGACAAGCCGGGCTTCGTGAGTAGTGAAACTCTCGATATTCTTCAAAGGTATAGCAAAGATATTGCGGAACTGACCAAGATTTCTCCGATTTCTTTTAAGAATTTTCAGTCAATTTTATGTTCTGTCTATCTTGGCCGAGCACAGGGAACCCATGGTCTATAGTGTATATAGACTATGCAGGCCCAGTAGAGGGTATATATTTTTGGTAACTGGATTAATTTTAAAAATCCTTAGATATTTAAATGACTAGATCCATGACATTCACAGTTACTGCTGAGTTGCTAAGGACATCATTCCGTAATTTTGAATTACCAGACACAGTTGTGTCAGATAATGCTACATTGTAACACAAGAGCTGGAAGCTTTCTTTATTAAGAATAGTAGTGAACATGTTACTCCAGTCCCATACCATCCATCATCAAATGGTCTGGCAGAGAGGGCAGTAAGGACGTTGATGGAAGGTTGACACAAATTTACAAAATGATCTTTTAATATCAGATTATGTAGGCTTTTGTACAACCATAGGAATCTTGTTCATTCATCCAGTGGTAAGACACCAGCAGAAATGATGTTTAATAGGAATTTTAACGTCCCAGTAGCGGCTGTCACACGTCATATTAGGAAAGACAAGTCACTGTCTAACACAGCTGCTGGTGACCTTCAGGGGGATGGGAAACAATCTCAGGTTAATGATGCTTTGTATGCCAGAAATTTTGGGAAGGAAAGATTGTGGACGTATTAAAGATTAGGAATTATAAAGTACAAATTAAAGGCTTTGATAATATAATATGGAAAAAGGCATACAGATCAACTCATGCCAAGGTTTAGGAGTGATGGAGAGCAAACACTGATTCCAGCAATACCAGAAGCTGTAAGGGTTGGTTTGGTAATTCCTGGCCAGTATAGGAACAGGACACCTCTGTGGTCAGAGGAACTGCATACGACAGATAATAGCGGTAATAAACTTAAGAAACAGGTTAGTATGCTGGAAGATCCTCCTGGGATGATTGATAATAACAACAACCAACCCTCCATATCTCAGTTCCAGGAGAGTGGTTAAACCTCCGAATAAGTTGGATTTATAAGTTAGTTTCGTGCGCGCGCACGCTCGTGTGGGTGTATGACCCACTTAATATTTGTATTTATAATTCATTACAATTGTGACCAGGTGTGGACGTATCAGTGGTTCTTTACTTGGTAATTTGTTCATGACTGTAACCATGTATAGGAGTGAGGCTGATTCATTACCTCTGTAACTTGCCATGATTGTGACCAGATCTACCTGGAGTTCATTACCTTTGTAACTAGTTCAGCTATCATAACTTTGGGGTCCAGTCACTGGACCCATTATGTACCTTTGTAATCTTTTGACTACCGCCCACAGGATGGGTATGGTGTGACTACCGCCCACAGGATGGGTATGGTGTGACTACCGCCCACAGGATGGGTATGGGGTGCATAATAAAGATATTAAACTAACTTTCATAATATAATCTTGTAAGGGAAAAATAAAATCTGTTTTGATGATATAATGTAATTTAGAAGAGAAAGAATGTAAGGTGTAGGGAGCAGTGAGAGAATTAAATCCTATGTCAGTGTTTGTGTGTGTATTGATCGTCGTGTGTTTGAGGTTGTTGTTGTGATCGGGAGAACTTTTGGGGTACAGTGTGTTATTGTTACTTTGGCTTTATCCCCTACATCACGGTCATCTTCAATAACAATGTCTGCAAGTTTAGGAGCAACATGAAACTGCCCACGTAACTGTTGAAGTGTTACTTGTTTCTCTGCAGGATCTTCTTCCTCATTCTCTTTAACTCTTGGAGTCTCTTCAGTCTGGAAATTCAGCTCTTTTAACATTTTCTTCTGGACTTCTCTTTTCCTCATCATCTTCTAATAATTCATTATTGTCTTCTGGCTGCATGTCTTCAAAGATCTCACGTAGCAATCTCCTTGTCAGCTGAACAATTTCTTCGATTTGGCTCTCAGCTGAGAGAAAGCCTGTGAAATTATTCAGCACACTCCGGTGGCCTGGTGGTTAACGCTCTCGCTTCACACGGTGAGGGCCTGGGTTCGATTCCCAGCCAGAGTAGAAACATTGGACGTGTTTCTTTCAACCTGTTGTCTATGTTTCCCATCAGTAAAATGGGTACCTGGGTGTTAGTCGACTGGTGTGGGTCGCATCCTGGGACACTGACCTAAGGAGGCCTGGTCACAGACCGGGCCGCGGGGGCGTTGACCCCGGAACTCTCTCCAGGTAAACTCCAGGTAAACACTAGGCCATGAATTTCTCCAACCTGCGTTTATTGTTGATTTATAAATAATTCCTCTGTCATCCTTGTTCACTGGTTTGACCGCCAGATAACAGGTATAATGGTTTTGCTTTTTTTGTTTTAAATCACTGGGATTCTTTGAGTGACAAAGAAACATGGGTCTGCACTTAAATTCACTTGCTACATAAGCACTCATCAGCAAACTGAAGCAATCTTTTGCTGTCTAGAAGCCAGCAGCGCCTTTTTCCTGCTTGTTCATGTAAGTTCTAGAAGGCATCTTCCAGAACAACGCTGTCTCATCATTACTGTTGCTCTAGAAGGTGCAGGTATCTTCGGAAATCCTTTCCAGCAGCTCAGCAGTAAAATTCTCTACTGTGAAGGCTGGCCAAGTGGGAGCGCAAGATACAGGTGGAGCTGCCCTGGCTGGTCAACTTTGTGACATAAGGTGGAAATAAATAATAATGAATCGATCAGACTTAAACGTAATACCTGGAGGTGCCACAACTGGTGGCTAATATTCTAATATTCTTCAGAAAAATAGTTGTGCAAAAAGTGACTAAATTATCTATTCAATTTTTCTTGATTTGAACAAGAAAAGAAACATCATGAAATTAAGCTGAAAAAATGAAGATTTGCATGAATTTTTAGAAGACAAGATTTTTAGTAAATTTACGAAAAAAGGATCTAACAAAATTGTTTTACAGAATGTACGTTGTTGCGGTGATATTATAAAGTGTAAAATTTTCACCTGTTCAAGGACTGGTAGAAAATTTTACCCGTGCAGGGACTGGTACAGGTAAAATTACCGTAGACAATTGTTGAAAATTTGAAGACGATTGGAGGAGGCATTCTCGTGTTACGAGCGAGTTAAAAGCCAAGAGTTAGAGGAAGAAAGAAAAACACTTGAAGGTTCGGCTTTAACAATACGTAATAATAACAATAATAAAATATTATAATAAAAATAAAAATAATTATAATTATAATAATAATAGCTATTTCTGAGAGTTAATTATATTTGCATCTACATAGGTTGTGTTAATATTTATATTTTAAGTTTAATTATATATTTACAGAGAAATATAAACTAGTGTGACTGGATCGACACCATGCCCAGCCCTTCTAGGGTAGGGTAGGTGCCTGAGCCCGAGCCTTTAGCTCGGGCTCAGGCACCATTAGCCTCCTTGTGGCGGGGATGGCAGACCAGAGAGGCCTAGCTTGTGGCTAGGCCTGGGGACAGTTGGTCCCAAAGATGAGGAGGTACTTGTGCCTCCTCCCATGGGAGACTTAGGTCTCAGACACTCCCTAAAGAGGGAGCCAAGGCCGGGCCACCACTTGGAAAAGGCCCGGGCCGGGAGAATACCGGCGAATCTTTAATAATAATAATAGTGTGACTGGATCGACACCATGCCCAGCCCTTCTAGGGTAGGGTAGGTGCCTGAGCCCGAGCCTTTAGCTCATAAGACTGTCATTCCCATTAGCCCCCTTGGGGCGGGGATGGCAGACCAGAGAGGCCTAGCTTGTGGCTAGGCCTGGGGACAGTTGGTCCCAAAGATGAGGAGGTACTTGTGCCTCCTCCCATGGGAGACTTAGGTCTCAGACACTCCCTAAAGAGGGAGCCAAGGCCGGGCCACCACTTGGAAAAGGCCCGGGCCGGGAGAATACCGGCGAATCTTTAACTAACTATCTAGTGTGACTGTTGACAAACATTACAAACCTGAGTTAAGTGACTCACCTTCTCCCAGTCATCAATGACTATTGTGTGCCAGCCATTGTTGTCGTGGTTGTCGTCATCATGAGTGGCCTCCTCATGGTCTTCACTATGAGTGGTGTCTGAAGCCTCATCATTTTTGTCACCGCTATCGTCGCCATCACCATTGCTGTCACCGTTGTCGTCGCCACTATCACCACCGTTACCGTCACCGTTGTCGTCGCCACTATCACCACCGTCACCGTTGTTATTGTCGTCACTGACGGGTCGCCAGTGGACTTTATAATGGAAGTCCGGTCCGTTATGTTCTTCAGGCGCCATAACCTATATCAAAGAAACTTATGAAAAAACTGCCTAAATAAATATAATAATTTAAAATATAAAATCATTATTTAGATCAATGTTGTGTAAGTATATTCACTTCTACGTAACTGATCAACTTTATCCAAGCAACCCGACTCAGAAAATTTTTAATAACCGCCCAAAAATTATCCAAAAATGTACTGAATTCCCATTTTATTGCAGATTTGTAGAAGCGAACAAGTATTAACAAGTATTAACAAGTATTAACAAGTATTAACAAGTATTAACAAGTATTAACAAGTATTAACAAGTATTAACAAGAACAAATGTATATAATCAAAAGAGAACTAAAATAAACTCAAGATCTCTCTGAAGTTTTAGCTGACTCAACGAACAGCTGAGTAAGTTGTAGAGTGAAGCAGCGAGGTGCAGCGTGCTGAGCAGTGTGAAGCAGCGAGGTGCAGCTTGTTGAGCAGTGTGATGCAGCGAGGTGCAGCTTGCTGAACAGTGTGATGCAGCGAGGTGCAGCTTGCTGAACAGTGTGATGCAGCGAGGTGCAGCTTGCTGAGCAGTGTGATGCAGCGAGGTGCAGCTTGCTGAGCAGTTTTGATGCAGCGAGGTGCAGCTTGCTGAGCAGTGTGATGCAGCGAGGTGCAGCTTGCTGAGCAGTGTGAAGCAGCGAGGTGCAGCTTGTTGAGCAGTGTGAAGCAGCGAGGTGCAGCTTGTTGAGCAGTGTGAAGCAGCGAGGTGCAGCTTGCTGAGCAGTGTGATGCAGCGAGGTGCAGCTTGCTGAGCAGTGTGATGCAGCGAGGTGCAGCTTGTTGAGCAGTATGAAGCAGCGAGGTGCAGCTTGCTGAGCAGTGTGAAGCAGCGAGGTGCAGCTTGTTGGAGCAGTGTGAAGCAGCGAGGTGCGCAGCTTGTTGAGCAGTATGAAGCAGCGAGGTGCAGCTTGCTGAGCAGTGTGAAGCAGCGAGGTGCAGCTTGTTGAGCAGTGTGAAGCAGCGAGGTGCAGCTTGTTGAGCAGTGTGATGCAGCGAGGTGCAGCTTGCTGAGCAGTGTGAAGCAGCGAGGTGCAGCTTGTTGAGCAGTATGAAGCAGCGAGGTGCAGCTTGCTGAGCAGTGTGAAGCAGCGAGGTGCAGCTTGTTGAGCAGTGTGAAGCAGCGAGGTGCAGCTTGCTGAGCAGTGTGAAGCAGCGAGGTGCAGCTTGCTGATCAGTGTGAAGCAGCGAGGTGCAGCTTGTTGAGCAGTGTGAGCAGCGAGTGTGCAGCTTGTTGAGCAGTAGTGAAGCAGCGAGGTGCAGCTTGTTGAGCAGTGTGAAGCAGCGAGGTGCAGCTTGTTGAGCAGTGTGAAGCAGCGAGGTGCAGCTTGTTGAGCAGTGTGAAGCAGCGAGATGCAGCTTGCTGAGCAGTGTGAAGCAGCGAGGTGCAGCTTGCTGAGCAGTGTGATGCAGCGAGGTGCAGCTTGCTGAGCAGTGTGATGCAGCGAGGGTGAAGCTTGCTGAGCAGTGTGAAGCAGCGAGGTGCAGCTTGTTGAGCAGTGTGAAGCAGCGAGGTGCAGCTTGTTGAGCATTTGTGAAGCAGCGAGGTGCAGCTTGTTGAGCAGTGTGAAGCAGCGAGGTGCAGCTTGCTGAGCAGTGTGATGCAGCGAGGTGCAGCTTGCTGAGCAGTGTGATGCAGCGGGGTGCAGCTTGTGAGCAGTATGAAGCAGCGAGGTGCAGCTTGCTGAGCAGTTTTGAAGCAGCGAGGTGCAGCTTGTTGAGCAGTGTGAAGCAGCGAGGTGCAGCTTGTTGAGCAGTATGAAGCAGCGAGGTGCAGCTTGTGAGCAGTGTGAAGCAGCGAGGTGCAGCTTGTTGAGCAGTGTGACGCAGCGAGGTGCAGCTTGTTGAGCAGTGTGATGCAGCGAGGTGCAGCTTGTGAGCAGTGTGAAGCAGCGAGGTGCAGCTTGTTGAGCAGTATGAAGCAGCGAGGTGCAGCTTGCGGAGCAGTGTGAAGCAGCGAGGTGCAGCTTGCTGAGCAGTGTGAAGCAGCGAGGGCAGCTTGTTGAGCAGTGTGAAGCAGCGAGGTGCAGCTTGCTTGAGCAGTGTGAAGCAGCGAGGTGCAGCTTGCTGATCAGTGTGAAGCAGCGAGGTGCAGCTTGTTGAGCAGTGTGAAGCAGCGAGGTGCAGCTTGTTGAGCAGTATGAAGCAGCGAGGTGCAGCTTGTTGAGCAGTGTGAAGCAGCGAGGTGCAGCTTGTTGAGCAGTGTGAAGCAGCGAGGTGCAGCTTGTTGAGCAGTGTGAAGCAGCGAGGTGCAGCTTGTGAGCAGTGTGAAGCAGCGAGGTGCAGCTTGTTGAGCAGTGTGAAGCAGCGAGGTGCAGCTTGCTGAGCAGTGTGAAGCAGCGAGGTGCAGCTTGTTGAGCAGTGTGAAGCAGCGAGGTGCAGCTTGTGAGCAGTGTGAAGCAGCGAGCTGCAGCTTGTTGAGCAGGTGAAGCAGCGAGGTGCAGCTTGTTGAGTCAGTGTGAAGCAGCGAGGTGCAGCTTGCTGAGCAGTGTGAAGCAGCGAGGTGCAGCTTGTGAGCAGTGTGAAGCAGCGAGGTGCAGCTGTTGAGCAGTGTGAAGCAGCGAGGTGCAGCTTGCTGAGTCAGTGTGAAGCAGCGAGGTGCAGCTTGCTGAGCAGTGTTGAAGCAGCGAGGTGCAGCTTGTTGAGCAGTGTGAAGCAGCGAGGTGCAGCTTGCTATTGAGCAGCTCAGTTGCTGAGCAGTGCGAGCGCGGCAGCTTGTTGAGCAGTGTGAAGCAGCGAGGTGCAGCTTGTTGAGCAGTGTGAAGCAGCGAGTGCAGCTTGCTGAGCAGTGTGATGCAGCGAGATGCAGCTTGTTGAGCAGTGTGAAGCAGCGAGGTGCAGCTTGCTGAGCAGTGTGAAGCAGCGAGGTGCAGCTTGCTGAGCAGTGTGAAGCAGCGAGGTGCAGCTTGTTGAGCAGTGTGAAGCAGCGAGGTGCAGCTTGTTGAGCAGTGTGAAGCAGCGAGGTGCAGCTTGTTGAGCAGTGTGAAGCAGCGAGGTGCAGCTTGTTGAGCAGTTTAAGCAGCGAGGTGCAGCTTGTTGAGCAGTGTGAAGCAGCGAGGTGCAGCTTGTTGAGCACGTGTGAAGCAGCGAGGTGCAGCTTGTTGAGCAGTGTGAAGCAGCGAGGTGCAGCTTGTTGAGCAGTTTAAGCAGCGAGGTGCAGCTTGTTGAGCAGTGTGAAGCAGCGAGGTGCAGCTTGTTGAGCAGTGTGAAGCAGCGAGGTGCAGCTTGTTGAGCAGTGTGAAGCAGCGAGGTGCAGCTTGCTGATGCAGTGTGAAGCAGCGAGGTGCAGCTTGCTGAGCAGTGTGAAGCAGCGAGGTGCAGCTTGCTGAGCAGTGTGAAGCAGCGAGGTGCAGCTTGTTGAGCAGTGTGAAGCAGCGAGGTGCAGCTTGTTGAGCAGTGTGAAGCAGCGAGGTGCAGCTTGCTGAGCAGTGTGAAGCAGCGAGGTGCAGCTTGCTGAGCAGTGTGAAGCAGCGACGTGCAGCTTGTTGAGCAGTTTGAAGCAGCGAGGTGCAGCTTGTTGAGCAGTGTGAAGCAGCGAGGTGCAGCTTGTTGAGCAGTGTGAAGCAGCGAGGTGCAGCTTGCTGAGCAGTGTGAAGCAGCGAGGTGCAGCTTGCTGAGCAGTTGTGAAGCAGCGAGGTGCAGCTTGTCAGCAGTGTGAAGCAGCGAGGCTCAGCTTGCGGAGCAGTGTGAAGCAGCGAGGTGCAGCTTGCTGAGCAGTGTGAAGCAGCGAGGCTCAGCTTGCGGAGCAGTGTGAAGCAGCGAGGTGCAGCTTGCTGAGCAGTGTGAAGCAGCGAGGTGCAGCTTGCTGAGCAGTGTGAAGCAGCGAGGTGCAGCTTGTTGAGCAGTTTGAAGCAGCGAGGTGCAGCTTGCTGAGCAGTGTTAAGCAGCGAGGTGCAGCTTGTTGAGCAGTATGAAGCAGCGAGGTGCAGCTTGCTGAGCAGTGTGAAGCAGCGAGGTGCAGCTTGCTGAGCAGTGTGAAGCAGCGAGGTGCAGCTTGTTGAGCAGTGTGAAGCAGCGAGGTGCAGCTTGTTGAGCAGTGTGAAGCAGCGAGGTGCAGCTTGCTGAGCAGTGTGAAGCAGCGAGGTGCAGCTTGCTGAGCAGTGTGAAGCAGCGAGGTGCAGCTTGTTGAGCAGTGTGAAGCAGCGAGGTGCAGCTTGTTGAGCAGTGTGAAGCAGCGAGGTGCAGCTTGCTGAGCAGTGTGAAGCAGCAAGGTGTAGCTTGCTGAGCAGTGTGAAGCAGCGAGGTGCAGCTTGCTGAGCAGTGTGAAGCAGCGAGGCTCAGCTTGCGGAGCAGTGTGAAGCAGCGAGGTGCAGCTTGCTGAGCAGTGTGAAGCAGCGAGGTGCAGCTTGCTGAGCAGTGTGAAGCAGCGAGGTGCAGCTTGCTGAGCAGTATGAAGCAGCGAGGTGCAGCTTGTTGAGCAGTATGAAGCAGCGAGGTGCAGCTTGCTGAGCAGTGTGAAGCAGCGAGGTGCAGCTTGCTGAGCAGTATGAAGCAGCGAGGTGCAGCTTGTTGAGCAGTATGAAGCAGCGAGGTGCAGCTTGCTGAGCAGTATGAAGCAGCGAGGTGCAGCTTGTTGAGCAGTATGAAGCAGCGAGGTGCAGCTTGCTCAGCAGTATGAAGCAGCGAGGTGCAGCTTGCTGAGCATTGTGAAGCAGCGAGGTGCAGCTTGTTGAGCAGTGTGAAGCAGCGAGGTGCAGCTTGCTGAGCAGTGTGAAGCAGCGAGATGCAGCTGTCTGAACGACCAGAAGCTTACTTGGTGCAGCTGTCTGAACGACCAGAAGCTTACTTGGTGCAGCTGTCTGAACGACCAGAAGCTTACTTGGTGCAGCTTTCTGAGCGACCTAAAGCTTACTTGGTGCAGCTTTCTGAACGACCTAAAGCTTACTTGGTGCAGCTGTCTGAACGACCAGAAGCTGACTTGGTGCAGCTTTCTGAACGACCTAAAGCTTACTTGGTGCAGCTGTCTGAACGACCAGAAGCTTA